AAGATATATGAATGTCTACACTGCTATGAATACTATACAATGTGTACATGCATTGTAACTTCACGTGATATCCCATAAATATAGGCTTTTGTGTTAATTATAATTATAATGTCTTTTTTAAATGTATTTGGTACAGAGTCTCACTATGCAGCTTGGGCTCATGATCCTCCTATTTTCAGCCGCCCAGCACTGAGATTACAGGTGTGCGCTACCATGCTCAGTCTCAGTGGCTGGCTCATCATGTCTGTAGGTGGGGCCGGTGCAGCATGTGATGTTTGTGGATACAACCCTGGCCCCAGAACTTGCCTAAGCAGGCATTTAGTCTGCTGAGTTATCTCGCCGGCTCTTCTATGTTAATTAAGATATAAATAAACATTTTAAAATACACACAAAGAAATGAAAGAAAATCTACACTATTCCAACTTAAAAAGTGACAGCAATATTAAAGTCAGATAAATATTAAATCTTGATCCATAGATAGTCATGGCACCATGACTTTCTCAGTTCTTTTTGTTGTTCTTTTGGTGGGTTTTTCATTTTTATTTTAATGAGTAAGACAGTTTGTTTTATGTTTCATTACTGTGTCTGGGAATTTTTCCCAAAAATTTTATGAGTATTTTTATGACATGTAATATACGTCCTAATGTTCAGTTGAACATACTGAATTCCATGCTCAAAAATCAATCTTTCAATGCATCTGTTCTCATCAACAAGTCAATCTGCCTTTCAGCCTAAAAGAAGAGGGGGCCTTTTCAGTCTCCCTTACAGTTTAACAGCAGTGTTCCACTGATGTATACTATTTGTTTTTGAAAAAATTTGGAGTAGGACACTTTGGGTTTCAAAACCCTAGGTAAATCCCTTATGTTTCTAAAAAGAAATCAAATTTTTTACTGTATATTTCAAGTTAGTCATTTTATTAATAAAATCCAAAATCTATTTGATAAAAATGTAGTTCAAGTGCATTTTTTGTAGTGACATTTGCTGAAACCAATCTAAAATGTTGAGTAGATTCTCAACAATAATTTTAAGGAAATAATAGAGTTTTTCTGCATTAAAACTTATTCTATTGGTGCAAGATTCTACTTACAGTAACTATATAATGAATTCTCTTTGAATGAATCATTTCATTGGAGGCAGAAGCTTCTTGAGTTTTAATTGAAATTTAAATGTTTCATCCCCAGAGTAAAAAGATGATAGTAAAATCTGGTTGTAAAATTAAACTATAATTGGTTTCAAGATAGACAGATTTCTCATCAGCCAAATTTTTCTTGCAATATTAGGATATAAAAACATCATCATCAAAAAATCTAATTTTCATAATTTAGTGTACATCAGGTAATCATGCCATAAATATGTGAATAATATCTAACTAGCATGCATTTTTATCAATACCATGCCTTCAGAAAATAAGTTTTGAATGTTTGGGGGATTTGTTTTTATCTATCCCAAAGAAAAGACAGAATGTTCAAGTAATAGAGAAATTAAAGAAGGAAAATTTTTTCCTGTCTGAAAGTCCACATTTTCCTCCTATAATAACTGGACAGAGTGAAACATCTGTTCTGGCAAGTATAGTTTTTCATAAAAACTGGCTCATAAATGTCTTAATCTTCCTCAAACCAAAGTATAGACTAAGAAAGAAAGGGCTATACATCACTGAAGTCTTACTATTTTCCAAGTGAGCTATATATTTTATCCCCATTCTAAGAAACATTTCTATGCAAATCTTATGTGAGGACTCATGAAGATAAATAACATAGCATTTCCACTTCTGCTCCCAGGGGCTCACCCTTATTTAAAAAATACACGTTCACATAAAATGTTGGAAATATTTTTGATTACTTTTGAAACTGTAGAATTTCCTGCATAGATTTCAAGAACCTAACAAAATCTTGTGAGAAATTAGACTTCGGTGTATGTTTTAAAAGTGAATGTTGATGTAGTGGAATCTTTTACAAAAGAATTCAGAGTAAACTTGTAAAGATTCATTGTTCTCCAAATATCTCTAGAATAAATGTCACAATCATACAATATGAAAAGTCACAGGAAAGGAAAGATTACTACTTCGCAGCTTCCATGAAGAGTATACAAATCCAGGTGACTGACTATTGCACAAAATTTCTGAAATTGAGCTGTATTGTATTCCCTATCACCACTATATCCAAAACCTAGGTAGGAGAGGGACCTGACCGAAGATGGCAAAATAATAGTATCTCCATCATATTTCTTCATCCAACATCTGAGCATGTGACCTAGGCAATGCCAGTCAGACATTTTGTCTGCAAATTTTCAAGGGCAAGTTAGGGTTGGAGAAACACTCCTAAACTGAGGGGGACACGAGGCCACAATCCAGGCTGCTTGGAGAACACTGCATGGAGAATACAGGAGATTAAAAAACAAAAGCACACACATCATATGTAAAAGGACACAGGAAGGAATTTAGATCAAGCCTACTTATCCCTCATATCGATGTACCCCACATGAACCTAACTCATTTTTGGTTCCTGTCTCCAGCTTTAGTAGCATCCTGTCTGCTCTGCTCATTGGGATGGATCCAGTTAACTTTATTGGCCAAATCAAGTTATAAATTTGAAACAATTGTTGTTTACAGATTTTTCATGAAAACATGGGGCTTGATTATTTGTGTACAGTGATTAAATTCACAGGAAATCATAAAAGTTCCTACTTTATCAACACAGCTAATTTAAATAATTCAAACCCAAACTCTGCTCTTACCTATTTTGACCCTTACCTGTTGCAATTGAAATTGTCTCAGTGCTGCATGCAATCTAATTCATCTCAGTTTTATACAATTTTGTTCATTCTCATTGATATATCTAAGTCATTAGACAATAGTATTGAAAAATTAATTTGATTACTACTACTACTATTAATTAAAACTATAATGAGCATTGTCAAAGAAGAAAATATTATTCAAAGTTCATTTCATCCCTTTTTGGTTGTTGTGATAGTAGCCTAAGTCAGATATTATAATACCATTTTATAAATACTCTGAGTCACAGAAAATTGCATTAATGTGCCCAAAGAAACATGTATGAAATCTGTGACGCATATGTAAGAAAATTATATTGCTCTTTAAGAATTCAGAATCAAATAGCATACACATCCCCACTGCAGGGCCACTGTTTGATCAGTTTCCACTGTCTTGTGGACACTGAAAGTTTTCAGTCATCAGATTTTCATCTTGCCCTGCCTGATTCATACACTTCCTTAGAAAGGAATAAATGTAGGTATAAGAGCTCTATTTTAGAGACTGCTTTCTGACTCTCCATCTAGAAGCTTCCCAAGGCTAGCTTGTTTCCTTCACCTTTACTGGAGCCCACAGGAAAGTGGAAAAACAACACAGAAAGGAGATCAGGACAAATTCCCCTTTCCCCATTTAGCACACTAATGTTTTAATTATGATAGATAAGATAAAAGTAAGACTAAAGGCTGGAGTCATTCTCTGTTTCCCTTCCTCAGATTTTCTGTCTAGAGAACATGCACGCTCTTAAGGATCTGGACATTGCTGAATCTCTTTTCTGTTCTTCAGTCATCATTGCTAGGACCACTGTCTTATGAACTGACCTAGGCAGGCGTAAAGAGAAATTATTTTAGTTCTCCACTAGTTTTTAAAGTGGTATCTTTTCCTGAATTTGACTACAATAGATAATTATGTATAAACTAACCTTTTACTTCACTGTCTTCTCTAGAGTATTCCAGTTAGAATTAGGTGAATTATAATCCCTTAAGTCAAAACTCACACTGGTACCCTATATTTAGTTTAGTTTGCAGATGTCTTTGATTTTTCTGATATATCTTTTCAAAAACATTGAGTTATTATTTTTAAATTGATAGATTTCACATAAAAATCCAAACTTCCAAAGCGTCAAGTATCAAAAGCATTCTTCTTACATGATTGTTTTTCTTAGACTAAACTCTCTCTTCCTCCTTCTCCTTCTCCCTTCCCTCATAAATGAATGGTTAAACAGGTAAAATGGATTCTTCTGCCTACCATTTTTGCTTATATACATTACTTGAAACCCCTATGAACTTTTGGGGTTATGAGTCTTTTCTATAGATAATAATGTAGATGAAAAACAATGCCTATTTGTGAAGGCCTCAAATGAGACCTTAACAGAATCTTAATATAAGGAATAAACTGGCCGGCCAAATCGCTCAGCAGATTAAAGCACCTGCAAGCAGGTGCAGGGGCTGGGCATATGATCCCCAGGCCTGTTATGCTGACCTTGCCCCCAGGTCACACTGAAAGGGTGATTGAGACTGGGCATGGTGGCACACGCTTATAATCCCAGCTCTTGGGAGGCTGTAAACAGGTATATAACTATGAGTCAGATTCAGTAGTGAGAGCCTGAGCACCCTGTAAACACTTGCCTAATATAAAAAAAGTAAAAAAAATTTAAAAAAAGAAATAAGGTTATGGGTGTCCAATATTATGTTTTCATTCTTAATCCACAGAGTTGAAGAATGGATAAAATAATGAATTAAATAGTACCTTAATGAAGTCCCCAACTTGGAGATCAGAGAGGAGAGAATTCATCCCCAAAAGACCACCAGGAACTAGTGCTAGACAACTTGTCTCTACAAATCATAATGCTGTTGCTCCCAGGAAGGGCTGAAATAAGTACAGGGCAGAAAAGATAAAAGATTTATTCTACACCCACAATGTTAGAGTAGGCTCCCAAAAATCTGCTTTTCAGTCATATACATTTTTCTTTGGAAGTTACCTGCATGTTATCCAGTCCCTGCCCTGTATAAATCTCTGCATATATCTGAACACAACTCAAACATTTGTATCATCCCAAGTTTTAAGGTAAACACATTGCTAATAGCTCTTAGCTCTTAGCAGATATTTTTTAGACCTCATATTATCCTGGACACTCTCCTCAATATTATGCATAGCTAATCAATAATTTTCTTAAGGAATTATGGCCACAGTGAAGAACTCAAAAATTAATAATAGGCCACCACTCCAGCCCAACATGGCGATGCACAACAAGGTGGCCCCGACACAGATCCCAGACACCTGGTGGGCGGTGGCAGAGCTCACGAAGTGGAAGCAGAAGCTGGAGGAAACACTGGCAAACTTGAAGAGACAGATCTATGCTTTTGAAGGAAGCTACTTGGAAGATACTCAGGTGTATGGCAATATTATTCTTGGCTAGGATCGCTATCTGACCAACCAAAAAACTACAATAGCAAAAATGATCAAAGGAACGGGAAGTTTAAAGAAGCCGAGTGGCTCTTCACTAAATCGTGGGTCAGTCAACAGCTGCCGTTAAGTACGTTGGCAGGAGTTCAAGACCAGCTCATTGAAAAGAGGGAGCCAGGAAGTGGGACAGAAAGTGACATTACTCAGGGAGTCATCATAGCAGCCAATAAAAACCAACACAGGTCAGTGGCAGGTACCCTCTCCCTGCAGCTCCAATGACTGGTTGATATGAAGGGCGCTTCCTAGAGCCACAGAACTCAAGGATGGACAGAATTCGTGACTCCAAATGAAACCAGTTCATGTTGTAAGGGGAGTTGGTGGGCAGTAAAATAACCCTAAGAAAGGACTTGAGGACATCCTTCCACTTTTGCTGGTGCAGAACCCTAGCCCTAACCCCAAGAACTTTGTTTAACATGGTGAATTTGAAATCCTTTCAGAAGAGAAAAAGGAGACTAGAAATGAAATCTCTGTAAATTTGAAAAATTACACTAGTGTATGTTGGGTAAAGTGGGATAATCTTTTGTTCCTACTCCTGATCCTTGCCTACTCATGAGAATTGACTTAATGTGCCTTTAAAGAATTTTTAAATAAAAGCTTTTTGATCACTTAAAAAAAAGTAATGCAGGTAAACTTTTTTTGGGTAAACTTTTGTTGAATACTTTCTATAACTAAGCACTATTTTAAAATATATGCATTTTGGGCCAGGGAGATAGCTCAGTGGAATAAGTGCTTGCCTGGCAAGTGCAAGGTCATGAGTTCAATACCTGGTACAAGAAAATAAATAAATAAATAAATAAATAAATAAATAAAATATATGCATTTTAACATTTAATCTTCATGTCAATTTTCTGAAGCATATACTCTTATTATTGCTATCTTAAAAACCATACAAATGTTGAATTAATTCAAACCCAAACAATTTTGCCTCCAAAGTTCATACTATGGCCTACAAAGGACTCATCAAAAGTATATGCACCTTTGAGAAAAAGTTTCAATTATGCTTGTAAGCAAAGAAATGGAAATTTTTCTAATGTAAGAGATCATTTTTAACTCTCAAATTGTCATGTTTTAATAATACTTAGAGCCAGAATTAGTTGTGGAGAAATACAAAACCTTTTATGTTGCTGATGGAAGTTGCATAACATTTCTTCAAAGCAATTTCACATTATATAACTAGAATCTCAGAAACATATTTTTGGAAACACATGGTCCGTGAAGCATAATCTCTAACTAACTACGGGGCTTTGTGACGATATGAATAAGAAACATCAAAAACTATATAAAAGAGCAATTGGGGATTAAATAAAATGTTGAGGTATCCACCAATGAAATATAAAGCAACCAATAAAAAGTATTGGCATATAATTGTGAATAATACAAAGTAAGTTCATTCTATTTTATTGGGTGAGATAAAAAAAACAAAAGAAAAATATAAACATAATGAAACTAGAATGGAAAAAGAAGAGCAAATTACACAGATTAGCCAATCTCACGCAGATTCTCAACAGAACTGAGCAAGTTCTGTTAGTAACTCAGTTTACAGAAACTTGACTCCCGTAATGCTTCTAGGAGTAGAGATTTTAAATAAAGTGAGTATATATGAACTACAGGAAAGCATGTCTGCATCTCACGTGCCACAAGATCATTATTTATCAGACTATTATACTATAATGTTTATCACCATTGAAGATTTGAATTTTCATTGTCCGCCTTCTTTCACCATTTACATGAGAGAAAAATCTCTTATGTGCGCCTGTATCACAGTTGAGAGCAGTTTTAAGCCGCCTTGCTGCCAGTCCTTTTAGAAAAAGACATAGAGCTGCCCACAGGGTGATGTATGCCTGTAGTCCCAGCAGTCAGCAGGCTAAGTCAGGAAGATCAACGTGTGTTTGAGGCCAGTCTGGGCTACATAGTTAGTATAAGGCCATCCTGAACTGTGCAGCGAGACACTCTCAAAAAAGGGCAATAAGTTGTGGACATAAAGAAAATTACCTATGTTTTCATTCCAGTAATATTTTCATTTTCTCTCTGAAGTAAATTAAAAAACAATGTAGTTTTGACCTTTTATAAGGAAAGTTTTACTCTCTATTTTGTGGTAACAAAGAAGTATACAATGAGGTACAACATTTTTGAACACAAAGTGATGCCATATCTCTTATAGATGTTCAAAAAGAAACACTTTATAAATACAAAAGAAAATTATTCACACACCTACCATTTTTTCTTCTTTTAATACTTTGTGCTTATATTTCTAGAATTTTCCCATGGCAATATATTCCTTTTTTATAAAGGAAATCATATTTTGTCTTCTGCTTAATACCATTACAATTACATCAGTAGCATAAATATCTTTACCTGCAATTGCACATTCTAGAGTAGGACATATATCACATAGAGCAAGTGTACTATTAACAAAGCAAAGAGTTCTCAAGTGAAGAAATCATAAAAGCATGAGTCCTTCCGGGCCTCTGGAGCACAGTCTTTGTATTATAGCTGTCCCATGTGCAACCAAGGATGAAGGATATGAAGAAACAAAAGAAAATCTAGTTCGTCATCAACAAAATCTTTTGTTAAGTAATTTATCTCCATTGACTCATCCCAATCATAAGCTCTTGGGGTAGGAGTGTTTATTCTCCATTTTCTGCATGAAGAAATAGAGGCTGTGAAAGATCATGTGTCATGCCCAAGGTGAAGTTCATATAAAATGGGAAATTAGCACAGAGAGCTTTTGTCTGGTTCCAATTCTGTTTCTATAAAATAGAAGGACAAAGGTATATACTTGGCAGGTCTTATTCCAGAATCTTCATGCTACTTCATTTTTCCAATGCCTCTTGGAAATTCTTTATATACGAAGGTGTTTCCTTACTGTTTGAACATATCTATTGAGTGGCCACTGCTTTTCAGACACTGTGCTAAGGACTGTGTGTGAAAACCTAGCTGAACCAGAAAAGTTACTTTTCTGGATGAACTATACATGCTACAAAGATGGGAAATATGTAACCATATAAACCATTGATATAAGAAAATGGGAGTTCCCACCACAGTGCTGTCACAGAAATGTTGTCCAAAATGTGAGCTTTCCTAGGGAGGTCTTTAAGGCAAATTCTAGGTGTCCATTCAGTTTTCCCAGCAAGGCTTTTACTTGGAAAGATCCTTAGCTAGTTCATTTCTTGATCCATAAAACTTAATACACTATTCCAAGTATGGTGAATTGGACAAATTGTAATGCCCAGATTAACTGAGTAAATGGTGCTGAATATGTGAAGTCCAACAGGATTGTTACCAACAAAATAAAGAGGAGAACTGGAGAAAAAGAGAAGTTGTTAGGTGGCTGCTAGCTCTCCTCGAGCAACTGTTGGTTCTCCTGGAGGAACTTGTCATGCTGGCTTTCCTGATATAAACTCAAATGTTCTCATCATTGAAGGAGCTCGGAACCTTGTTGCTGAGAATGGCTGTGGTTCACTTTGGAGGAACTCTATTTCTTACTCTGAGCATTGCTTCCTGGTTCTGGAAGGGGAATATAGGGCACTATTTAATCTCCTGGAAAAGTTTCTTGTGTTGGCTTTCCTGAGATGAACTCAGCTGTTCTAGGCATCAGAGAAGCACAGAATCTTGTTGTCATGGAGGATGGCTTGTGGTTCTTTTTGGGAGATTTCTGGTTCTTACTTTGAGCATCAATTCCTGGCTCCGGTGCAGATCCCTCAGTGTGCTAGCACACATCCTTCATCCTGCTGGCACAGAAGTTCTAGCTTCCAAAACTCACCTTTGGGATGTGAAACAGATTTGTATAAGATGTCATTGTGGGAACTTGGCCTCGAGTTGGACTTGTAGGGTGCATTGTAATGGGCTCTAGTTCTTCAACTGGACTCATGCAGGACATTACAATAGAGTCCAGTCTCTCAGCTAGAATCTTTGGGTGTTTAGTGTGTGGGAAAATTTCCTGAACTCTCTGTATATGACTCTCTGAGTGACTGTTATAAAATAATCCTATAAATATGTGTTTTGTATTGTTTCCCTTGCAAATCCTGAGTACAACACCAAGGTATACTTCTAGTAGAATACAAATCTTGGTATATTTTTCTACCATATCAAATAGGACTCTGAGATCAAGAGATAGAAAAACACAATAGCCTTTATTGTCAAAATGCATTGCATATTGCTCAAGTTCATGAATTCTGAAGGCCAACTGCCTGGGCTCAAAGGCCTCACCCATCATTCACTGAGAGAGATCCAGCAAGTTGTTGCTCTCTTGTGATAGTCGCCATTGTACAGAGGAAATAATAATAGACCTCACCTTGTAGGATACTGTGAACATTAAGAGAGCTTTGAATAATGTCAGGTATATAATAATGAACACAGGATATATCGCGATATGGTAGGCATCAACACACAGCAATGAAGGCTTAGCTCAGTATCATAGACATTGCAGTGAAGGACAAATGGGGTACATCCAAACCCCACTACTCACTGCCTGAGTGACAATGAGAACCTTATTTTATTTATTTATTTTGTATGTATTTAATACAGGGTATACAGGGTCTCACTGCATAGATGACTTGTAGTAATTCTCCTGTTTTCAGACTCCTAAACACTGGGATTACAGGCACATGCCACCATGCCCAGTCTCAATTGCTGTTTCAGCTCACCCCATGGGTAGGGTCAGCATGGCATGTTGGGGATCGAACCCTGATCCCTGCATCCCAGGTGCTTTAATCCAGAGCCCCTTATTTAATGTTATTAAGTTTTATTTTTCTCATCCAAAAATAGAAATATTAATGA